GTAATATGTCAAATTAAAGAAAATTCGTCTCAGCAGTTGTGCTTGTACTATTTAATACAATACTGCATATCAAAATTGAAAAATAAATCATAACAGTTAATTAATTGATAGGGTGACATACTTGAATTTTCTAAAACATAGTTCATCATTAAAAAATAATCTATTTTATGTACCTATTACCTACCTATTTAATATTCTAAAATATGGTCATATGACAGAACGTTTAGTACCTAACTATATAATAATATAATACTAATAACCAGTATTAATTTGTTTATTAATAAGTACTTAAATCAATATAATTATTTATAAATTGTTATCAAAACTACTTATTACAACCCACCAATATAATTTATTAAATTATATACTCTTGAGAACCTAAATCATTTTTAAATATTTAAATGCTTATAACGTTAATTTTTAGTATAAAATAAGTTATTAAATAAAAACTGTTGATAAAATAAAATATGTGGGTAGCTATCAGCAACTAAATATTTCTAAAATTAATACAATTAATACTTGTTCATAAAACGATAATTATTGAAAATKATGTATTTTGTTTATGGATATAAGCAAATAAAACTTACACATACTAATGAAGAAACACCTTTGAAGGGCTTTTATCAATGAGACAATATTTTAAGTTTGAAAGTTGGACACAGTATAGGGTAGCGACTAAACATAATTAGGTTCTGTGTAATTAAATTATACAATGTGTACATTGAATTAGTGCACTGTGCCTATTAGTATCTCCAAGGGCGTCCCGAAAACTTCAGACTATTAGGTCTGGCGTTACCGTAATTGACAGTATGCGTTTGTAGATACACGGTTYGCTGTCAGCCCGCCATACAAGCACCGATACATTGCTTATCATCCAATTAGTGCACTATGTCTGCGTTCTAACCGCCTAACCATACCCTAGTTATAAGCAACTAATTTTAATTATTATTACTGTTATTAACTAATGCTCACCCTTGTCCGTGTATTGTATGACACTATTCAGTCCGGCCGAATCCTTGATGTTCCTGTAAAGCACATTCACGTCGCTCACGCACTTGCGATACACCGAGTTCCACGGCCGACACGCAGAATGCCAAACTCAAGACGAACCCGGACGGACGACTTGCACAAAGTTTTCGGCTAAGACGGCGCACTGCACATATTACTTGAGTAACGAGACGCGATTTTCTTAATTCGCTTTTACTCTTACTATTTTCAGTATTTTCTCTTTCTCGCTGTTTCTCTCTCTCTCTCACAATTTTTTTTTTATCGAATTAATAATAATAATAATAAAAAAAAAAAATTATTCTGTGTGATACGCGCCGCGGCACGAAGTGATAAAAATTGGGTGCGGCTTCCGTAGAGGACTCCACACTCCACTCGATCGCTTCGCTGTTCTGGCGGGCGGGCGACGTTATACCACCACTTCACCGCACCCACATCGCGTAATGTACGGCCAAACCACGACAGACTGGCCCGCTACCGGTAGTTGACGTCATTCTCGACGTTCCTGGAAGAGAAAATCAAATCGGGAAAATGGGAACGCCGGCCGCGATTCTATARTGATTCTACTGATTCTACCTATAATATGAAATATAGAAATAGAATCGATGAAATCTAGAGCAAAATAACAGATTTATAGTTGATAATTATTAATTAATGTTTTCAATGAAAACTTATAGTCTATAATAATAATCAAGAAATCGTATGCATTTTGAGTTGCACAGGACAGGTGGCCCATTGATTTTATATTATCCATACGGAA